AAAAGAAGAGGAACTAAAAACTATTCTACTGGTACCTGAGGGCTCCGGCGTAAAGACAAGCCGTAAACATTCCCGGCAGTCCCTTCAGATGTCCAAGTTTGTCGATCACGAAAAATGGGAGAGTCTGTAAGAAAAGCAAGCAAACGGACACTTCGGGACGTCACATGAAATTACAAAAGACCCTGCTTTCGAAACGTGTCTTGTTTGCTAGTCGTCATGCAACTGATAAACACGGTCTAGAACCATGGAGTGCTCTTGGTGCCCGATCCAGACCCTGTGATTTTTCGGCCCAAGACTTCGTAACAGATTACTGCGTATTTAAAAGATTAAAATGGCCGCCACGAAAACGAAGCGTCGATAGAAGAACATTCAGACAGAGAAAGACCGAATGACGCACAAAACAAATTCCAGCTAATTAAGTGGTAGTAACTTTCAGTTTTAATTTCAGTTCAAAATTTAAAATAACAAACGGGAGAATTAGTTTCGTAATATTTCATGAGCAATTTACCTGGTCATTGCTGGTGATAACCTCTCGAACACGTAGATCGCAATCGGAGTAAACAGCGAAAATAACAAGGCCATCCAAACAGCAGAGAGTGACAATGATGATCAACCCAGGCACGTTCAACCACACCGCTCTGTTGAAATAAACAAAAAGACAGACAAGCAATAAACAAACAATCCAAGAAACAGCCAATGCAACTAAAGAGGCTGCTCCTTTAGAGTGTGGCGAGGGTGGCGAGGTCAACCAGGATGACTAGCATGGCGAGAGTAGCGAGAGTGGCAAGGGTGGGCAGGATGGCCACGGTAGCCAGCTAGGTTGGCCAGGGTAGCGAGGAGGTGAGTGGGTGGCCAGATTGGCGAGGGTAGCGAGGGCGGAAAGGGTGGTCGGGGCGGACAGGGTGGCCAGAATTGCCAGGGTGGCAAGCGTTGCTAGGGTGGCGATGCTGGCAACAGCGGCAAAAGTAACCAGGATGGCGAGGATGCCAAGGGTTGTGGGAGTGGCCTGAAAAGTGTGGCCAGGGTCGCAATAAAATGTTTGATTGCCAAACATTATGTTAAATGACCGAAATATGGAAATGAATGTAGCCTACTCAGGGAAATTCAAGCATTTACAATTTCTTTGGATTGATTGCAATCTGTGAAAGTTACTAACTTTAATATTTTATTATTTATCTTAACAAAGAGAATTTTTGTTACCTTCTAGCATCCTTGTATGATCTTATGGCAAGGAAACGCTGAACAGCTGTCTGGCTGACAGTCCAGACTGGCATGGCAGTGAATGCACCCCCGAGCGTTAGTGTCCAAAATGTATTGCGGACCTTTGGATCAGGATTAAAGCTAGAAAAATGGATCAAAACTACAGTCACTCAAAGAACTTCACGTACCCGTCTTATTATTACAGTCGAACCTCTATTAAGCAACCAGTTATCAAAGTCCCGAAATTATTGTCAGTAAAATACTGTAAATAAAACGCCTATTAACCGGCCACCTCGAAGCGGCCAGACCACCTTTCGGACGTCCCCATGAGCAAGTTCCCTATGGTTCTTACCCCTACTAAGTGGCCACCCAAAATTTAACGAACGTAGTTTGGCTATGTTTTGGATAAGAAGTTGACAGATAAGAGTCTGAAATGGAATTTAAAGACTGATGAAAAAATTCAAACACACGTTTATTATGATGGTCTCAACGTGATCCTATGTTCAGTATAAAGTAATTGGCCGGATCTAAGTATTAAAATATCCAAATTTAACTACCGGCAATTTAGCGATCACCTCACATTTCCCCGAGGGTAGCCGCTTATTAGGAGTTCGACTGTCACAGTATGTCATGGTTACACATTGTATAAACCGTCCCTTCGACACTGACTGCTAAAGCCAAATACTTATATACAATTTTATTGTATAAATATCCATTTTCTAATTAAACTTACTCAAAGAAATTGAGGCGGTCAAATTGTTTGTTGATTCGCCAGACCTCGCTAAAGCCACCAACTTCAATACTGCCAACAATCACAACCACAATAAGTCCAGCGACCATTATCATGGACTGAAACACATCTGTCCAAATGACAGCCTTAAGACCACCCTGATGGCAGAAAAAGAAAAAGGATACATAATGGAACAATTTCTCCTGCTGCCTTAAACAGTGCATTGGTACTCATTTATATTTTAGGATGGGGAAGGGCACTGTGATTATTGCTAAGCAACGTTTCCTATGTTAGAGATGCAATGACCTATCATGGTTACTACATTGAACGTCCGAGTAACTGGTCTGGGCTTTTGGGGCCTTGCTTGGGTCGTGGTGCTTAAATATTCCCAAAGGAAAACATAAATACTTTAAATATTAGGCGCTGTCTTCGTTATCGCCATCGTATATACGTAAAAGGTCCGTACTCTGTCTTTTGGCAGCTCTGAATATTCGCAAAGCCGGCGTTTTCAAATTCCTCTGAGTTGAAGAGCGTTTACGAGAAGTTCCGTTTCGTGACGGATTAGTGTGGCCGGTAGGCCTAACCGTAGAAATAAAGCTGAATTTAACTATTTCTCCTGCGTAGTGTGGAGGGGGTCTTATTAGCCTGTTAGTGTAAATATTCTTACGTACATACTCAAACTTACGTACGTATTTAAGTCTTATGTAAACATTCAGGGCCACACGTTTGGCATTGAAATATGACAAGCACGGAAGAACGCCATCACCTAAGAGGAAGACCAAGGAATTTTACCTGTAACATACCTACTGCATTTCCCGAAACAAATGCGCGTGGTAGAAAAGGTATGGCATATGACGGAGAAACAAACCCGTTGGCAAAAAGTTATTTCTTAGTAATTTATTCTATTCGGGCAAGAGAATCCCTTGATTCAGGCTATTAACTCCGAGAAAAAGAAAATGTTTGCCACGGTAAATTTTACTGATCCGGTCGGACGAGTACTTTATGGGTTTTACTCGTCCGAGCCAAAAAAATCTGCTCTATAAGACATGCGGACGGGTGAAAGTTTTTGCCTTGTGATGGGAAGTTTTCTTTGCCATATACTTACAAGGCTTGTGTAGAAAGTACAAACTATTCCTGTTGTGAGAATAGAAGCTGACAGTGGAATTCCAGCAACTGAGGAAAAAATATTTATGTATCAATTTCAATTTCTCAACCAGACCAGTCAGCCTGTAAAACTGAAATCATAAAATGTTTTTAAAATAAATCAGCCTCTAGTTAGACCTGAGAGATTTACTATAGGAACACAAAATTTATGTGGTTCCAGGAAATTTCCGAACCCACCCCAAGCTAAGCTATTGGAAATTTCGAGGTGGAGAGTGTTCAAAACCCGAAAGTTTTTGAGGAGAAGTATAAAGCTAAACTGCATTTCCTGGATGTTTGGGGAAGGGGGTTTCCGAAACCATAAAAACTACTGTGGGAGGGGTTTGGATATTCTCTGAAATAAGGGCAAATGACACATTATAAGAAATTAAAGAAAAGCAGCAATAAAATGTGCAATGCCTTCTACCATGGCAATTGCTATGACCACATGGGTCAAAACTGGAGGCACCTTAGCCTGGAAACATTTTCCCTTTTGTTCCACACTATTGTGACACATTAACAGACAGAAATCATCTGCGGGATAGGCTTGAGTTTGCACCCTGGTGGGACAAGGGGACTTCAGGCAGCTCTGTATATAAATTACTTAATTGTGCTTAAATTACCGTTGAACCCCTCTTTACGGGCACCTCTTTATTATATGGCTAGCCCCGTGAGCGGGCAAGATGAAGCGAACCCTGCTTTGTGATTGGCTACCCGAGCGAGCAAGTGTGGCGTTATGTTGCCCGCTCGGGTTTCCCCGCTGTGTCCCGCAAGAAAATCGTGTTTTTCATCCACATAATGAATACTTTCTTGACCAAGCTTGTTCGATGGAGATGGCTGGATATTGACCTCGTTCTTTTTCTGCGTGTTTTTATGGAGGTCCTCTAGGTCCAAAAACACTCAAAAAAGAACTTGGCCAATATCCAGCCATCTTGACCTCACGCTTCGTCAATAACCCATATATATCACCAACAGTCCATTTGTCGCAAACAAACCAGATTTCGTATAATCTTTGAAACAGACATCTCCACAATACAGATTTTTGGTGTGTAGCTATTCAACGAGGTTCAGCACTAAATTTATTTTATTTATAGAGTGAGTCTTACCAGCTTCCAAGGCAAGGGACGGAGCGTAGAGGACAACAAAAAGATATAATGTCTGCAAAACAAATGAAAAAAAAAAAAAAAGTCTTAAAATCGTCCCAAGTAAAACAGATGGAAAATATTAAACGGCAGTAGAGCAATCTGATTGGTTGGATTTGGTTATCAGGCGCCTGAACAAACTTAGTTGAACAATGATTTTTCACCAATCTATTTGATTTTCATGGAGAAAGTTACTCTGGTTACCGTGTGGCTCAGACTTTTTGCGGGAGTTTAATTTTGCGGATCGGCGATTTTTTGTATTTTACGGGACTGGTTTTTCTTGCTAGGTCTTTATTTTTTCCGATTTTCAGGAAGTCGCGTTTAATTGAAATTACAATATTTTCGTTTTTTTTTTTATTTAGCTACATCCAATCGACAAGTGAAACAACATTAAGAAACGCTAAATACGGTACTCACTTACTCCATTACAATTACATTTTGTCCTAGTGTGGCTGATTGCTTCAGCAATAGCTGAGCGAAAACTGCGCTACCACTTGACGAATATCCCTCGACTTTTATTTCTGAGCTAGAGAGACGCTTTAAATAAACGGGATCAAGATTCTACTTGTGATGTTTGCATGTATAATTTCGCCAGTGGAATAAATTGTTGAGGAAAAAATTTTTGAGGAAACTGTTGTTTCGCGGGAACTCATTTTTTGCGGATCGTGGAAAAAAACACAAAAATCGCGACAGTTAGAGTCTGCAAAAATTTCGTGCCACACAGTAGAGACTAGATGTCAGGTAAATAATGACATTCTGCCAGACTTGTCAACAACATGAAAAATAACATTATGATCACAGGTCATCACAAGAAATTACTTACATATTCCAGAATGAAAAACAGACAGCCAACCATCCTGACTCCAACAGAGAAGCGAAGCTCTAAATACTGAGATAAACGTTTGCAGTTACAAAGGAGTTATTTTCTTTCGAAAGTACAGTCTTCAGCTGAGTCTTTGCCGGTCGAATACGGTCATTGATGAAGAAGCCGGGGATAGTGTTTTCTTTCAGGACATAAGTTTTGTCATCATAGTGAACGTACATTAACATGTACCAAGAAGTTGTATTTTAATTGTACTCTTTTAACTATATTTTCCTTTGAATACACCAGTTATACGCGGAAACGTAAACCATTAGTCAATCAGTGACCCGAACTATTTTAAAACTGGGATAAACATCCGTCTAGTTCTCCAACAAAGTACCAGTAGTCGAATTATAAATGACCTTTCGCTTTCGAAGTCCTTCTAAGCGAGCTCGGCGAAGCTCGCTACACGAGACTGGTGGTATATCATTCTGTAATGTTTCCTGTTGTGATGAAAAGTAAAATGTCCCTTCCCTCACCTCCTCCGAATCGCAGGCAGATCATGCAAAGTACCCCCCTCCTCCTTCCAACCGCCGCCGCTCACCGGTGGAGGAAATATTAAATATAAGAACGATTATTTTGCATTGTTTTGCGACGAATATCAAGCGAACAATCCCGGGAGGCCACAAGCAAGAAGATGAACGGTTGCGTTTTTTGGGGGGCTACAAAACGAACATCGTGAGACTGCAATTAAAGTGGAATTCAATTAAAGTATTAAATTCGTCGTTAGAAAGAAAACCTTAACTTACCTCGTTGGCACAAGTGATATTAACGCGCCTAAACATGGGAACGAACACAACCGCTACAGTGCCGCAGATGATGAAGTATGAAACGATCAGGACATAGTATTGAGCTCCATACGTGTAAATTTCTGATGGAACCCCGAGCAAAGTGATCGCCGACAAATATGACACCAGCAGCGAAATGGCCACTGGAAAATGCCTCATTTTGCGATTCGCCAGGAGATACTCGGCGGTTGTTTTCTGTTTTCCTCCAGGTCCGCAACCGTACCATATTCCGATCAGCGCCGAGATCAGCAACATGATGGAAAAAACGACGTAGTCGACGATGCTGAATTTATCTCGAGTATCAGTAGCCATGTCTCAGTTGTTTGGAGTTGAGTGGGTAGCAACGCCGGTTAAATCCTAGCTTGCTAAATTCACGCGCTTTAGGCAGGGTGCAAGCAACCCAGAGTAATAAGCCGTGATATGCTAATGCACGCGAAGTGGACAATGAACAATCTCACGATCTATTCTTTCAAATTTGCATGAAACTGCGAAGGACCGGCCGCTACCGCATTCCTCGTGCGATTCAGCCGGCTTATTGACAGCAAACAAGCGTGTTTCATTGGATGTCGTGATCAAGTATTAAATATCGATTTCCGTTGAAGTCACGCAATTTCAAATCACTTAAACTAGACAGGACACTCAGTTGTTGTCTCGACATAAGAATTATGATCGTACTTATTGATTATTCATTAGGTCAGTTGCTATCAGCTCAGATTATACCTGCAGAGATTAAAAGTAGTAATCAATGCAGCCGAACTGGAGATCACAAGCGATTGTACGTTCTCACTATATCGATGTATCGTGGCCTGGCAATGTTTGATATTAATTCATGTCATCCGGTCTTCATGACTTGAAAAGACGGGGGACGTCTCACAGCCGCGATCTATGATCTAGGAAGGGGTGGGTCATAAGCTTATTTTTGTTACTTTTTTCAATGGGGCTTTTGTTCAACCATGAAATTGCCACGTTTTTTTTTTTTTTTACTTTTTACTCCGTGACTGTTTCTATTTACTATTTTAATTCAAGGTTAGCAAAAGTTCTAGAGCTCATAATTTATTTACAATGAATAGTGGCTTTGAGAGCTGTACTTAAGTACACCGACATAACAATGAAGTTAAAGAGAACGTGACTGAAACTTAACTGGCGGTTTTACAAGAATGCGTACCACGCCAGAGTGATTTTTTTGTTCAAAGGCATATTTCGTTGTAGCACGTCTTAGAAAATGCGGATGCTCAAACTTAAGTTAAAATATCAGGTTGACGGCAGTGAGGAACGTGGAGACATTTTTACATTTTAACGTTTGTGGTGAAAAAAAAACTTTCACTTTCTGAGATGAGCGCATGGCACGCAAAGAACTCAGTGGAAAAAAGCGTGACCTGCGAACGTGCGGGAAATCACTACGTGAAACGTGACGAGGACCCCGAAACTTAGCTGAGCCTGAGGAGAGGGGGCTTGGAAGACTACAAGCTGGTCCTCTTTCGCTAAGTGCATCGTGTGTGATGCGAAAGAAAACCGTGAGAAAAACCTGAAGCCGAGAAGCGCTCGCTTCTCGCTCCCAAGAATTCACGCGGTCTCGCTCGAAGGACTAAGCGAAGGAGGGACTATGCATGTTTAGCTATTTTTAACGCAAGGTTAACCAGAGTTCAAGAGCTTATAATTCATTGACAATGGCCCGCGAGTTTACGAACTCATTGCCTGCCCTGTACTTCTCGATAGAATTAAAGAGAACGTGACTGAACCTTACTGCGCCTTTCAGTAACATAGGGAGTCTAAAATTCAAAGCTCAACCGACAAATGCGTTTTTCGCTACTGTCGATCAAATGTTCGGCGACTCCTCCCAGCTTCCGACTACTGCCGAACATTGTTTCGTTGTCTGAACTGTGCTCAACAATTTAATTACCTCGCGCTCGGCAGTAGTCGGAAACTGGGCGGAGCCGCCGAACATTTAATTGACAGTAGCGAAAAACGCATTTCTCGGTTGAGCTTTGAATTTTAGAGTCCACATGTTATTGAAAGGCGCAGTAACTAGCGGTTTTATTTACAAGGACGCGTATAGTGTTCATTGTGCACGCGAGGGTGAGTTTTAGTAGTTATACAAAGCTCTCTCGTAATAATAAATAATAATAATAATTAATAATAATAATTAATATTTTAAGAAGAGACCTCCAATCACCTAGAGGTGTTTTTCAGGGGGTCCTCTAAAAAATAAAAGTCTAAAATATGCATTGAATTAATGTCTAAAATACAGAAGTAATAGAAGCTAAAAACTTAAGACTACAACTAAGGTTTAAAACTAGAACTAAGATTAAAAAATATAAGCACCAACTAAGATTAAAAATGGTTCAGTAAAAACTGTTTCAGTTTGTGTCTCTTGGTATACCATGGAATGTACCAAGCCAGTTTGTATTTTCTTGGTTTACACACGAGCCTTTTTACCAAGAATATACAAGTGACAAGTAAGAAATTCCATGGTATACCACGAGAGACCGTTGCATAACTATTTTATACCATGTCATAGAAAATAAAAGGGCCAACACAGTTATTGCGACACACGCGGGGCGCATGATGGGAAGGTTTGATGTAATACTGTCGAATATACGTACAAAGGCTTTGCTGTATTCTGATTGGGAGAGTAACTGCCCGATGGTAACTTCTTGGGCTCACTCTCTTACCGTTTCAAAAATCTGTACCTCAACGGCCACTGTGTCTTAAGTAAAAATTGTCACAGTTCTCAGTCTTGGTAGGAAACAAAATGAGAAATAAAACCACTCCTCCCCAAAGAATCAATGATGAGTTTGCCCTTAAACTGAAACGCGCTGTTTTTCCTTTATTGAAATGAGGGAAGGGGTGTTCTAAAAGGAGCCCAGTCACGTTATTTTGAGTTATTTTGGACAAGTACAAAATTGCCTTTTAAATTGAAGGGAACCTGAAAATAGTAGTTTACTAAGATAGAACTGAAACTGACCAAAACGAAAATGAACAAGGATGGTTTAGGATGGAGAAGATTGGCACGGATTACAAACGACGAACTTGAAAAATTTTGGCTCAACTTCACCAAGATGCGCAAGCCGTGACGTAGCACCTTTAAATTTCATTCAAATTGACCAAGGTTATGTGCGTGTCGAATCGATCTCTACAAATTACCTGGCAAAATGTTTGTGTGTAGTTTGCCTAGGACCAAAAACGAATTACTCCTTGTCCTGCTAGGAGAAACCGTAGTTCTACAAACTACGGAGAAATTAGAGATATTTAACGGCTGCGCGATACTTCACAAGATTTATACGAAGACTTTGCTGGCTTCGTCACTGAATTTTACCGCCTGTCCCCATCGCGCAACCAACCTTGTTACAAGCGTAATTTCACAAAACACATCACAGACGAGTTTATTTTCAACAAATAAAGGTTTTGTGGTTACTGTTGTGTTTACTCTCAGAACAATGTGATATTTCAATCGTATCACAAAACAATGTCAATCCAACTACAGCTGACGGTGATTCGTGGATACATTACTCTGTTTACTGTTTAATTAGCTCAAATCTCGCCAGTTTACAAACTTAGATTTAATACGTGCGTGCAAGACATGAAGGATTGACAACAGCTAGCTAACTTAAGTGAGTTTTTACAACGGCGACACGATGCAGCAAAGTAACCTCCCGGCAAATTCTCAGTTTCTTAACCCCGGACCAGCAGAGCTGAACAGCGAGTCACCGAAAAATGGCGGCCGGGCTGTAAATGTGGAAAACGACTGGGATGTCTGGCTACCCATGTTACCTCATCTCGATGAATTGCCATGGACGCTACAAGACATTTCAAAAGTCTTACGACTCGGCAGGACACGCGAGAATTTTCGCGCCATTTCACCGCAGGCTGTGGAACGCGTGTCGTTTCTCTTACAAAGACCGCTATTGCGCATTGTTCGCGAAGCAAAAAGACTCTCTGTTCGATACTCCAAGTGCTCTAGGCAAGAATTTCAAACGAGCATCCGCCTGGTGCTGTCCTTGTCAATGGCTAAAACGTGCGTGACGCTGGCTTCTAAAGCGTTCTCCTTATACTCGATGTCAAGCGACAGATTTCGCCGCTCCAAGAGATCGCGTAGCGGATTGATTTTACCCGTTGGTAGAATGTTCCGTTGGCTTGTGAACATGAAGGTGGCTGGTCGTATCTATGACGCGGCAGCAATTTATCTGAGCGCTACTTTAGAATACATTGCTGAAGAGCTTGTCTTCCGAGCTGTCAACAATTTAGGTAATCTTTGTTATCCGTTAATTAACCATGCTAATCACAGCTGTGAGCATAGTGCCAATAATAATTGTGTTTACTTACGGTCGCTCTTGGTGGTAAATTTATGGAAACCGAGTTTTGTTGAGGCTTATAAAAAAAATCTATCACCAACTTTAAAGAGCTCATACTCGAGGGTGAAATCTTCCGATTGTGGAAAGTGTTCTTTAAAAAAGAAAAAAAAAAGCGTTGTTTCTGAAGTAGAAGGCTTGACAACAAATAATTTTCGCCAGGATTAAATGCACTATGAAAAACTTGGTTTTGCAGGAGGTGGTCAAGGACAATATTGCTACCTCGTGTTTAGGTTCACTGTTATCTGTTTGAGTCAAACGCGAAAATTGTTTTCGATCTGCACAGTGTTTCATCACTTAGAGGCTTTCATCAGAGGAATGTCAGTAATCTTATTAACAGTGGAACAAGGATATTTGTGTGAAGTTCTTTGAGCTCTTTTGTAATTTGTTAACTTCAACCAGAACAGTTGCGACTGCCAAGAGACTTAATGAGCTAGTGTTATGAACCGACTGGGGCCGCAATTTGGACTGCTAAACAAGTCTCGATTCTTCAAAAGTCAGCGATAATTTCAGCAGCCCACAACTCATATAGAAACTATTGTTCCCCAAAGCTAGCGAACAAAAATTAAAATTAAACAAAGCGAGGATTACGACAAATAAAGAAAAGGAACTTCAGAATTGGATAAAGTGGAGATGGCAGATGCACGTGCAGCTAAGTGATCTAGAGAGCTGTTCCGTAATTTCCTCATAACTTGAATTCAAGGAGTTTCGTTGAAATATTCGTTATTCTTTGTAAGAGCAAATGCTCGAAGAGGATATAAGTCATCTATGGAAATTCTTTTTTTTAAATAAAGAATTTACATGCCTTGTCAGTTGAATATTTAAATGAAAGGAAACCTTAAAGGAGCTCAGCCACGGTATTTTGAGTTATTTTGGCCGCGTATAAAATCACCTTTAAATTGAACGAAACGATAGAAAAACACCAAAGAGATATTAATAAACCATAAAGGAACAAGGATGGTTAGGGATGGAGAAGATTGACACGGATTACAAACGACAACCTTGAAAAATTTCGGATTAACTCTTCAAGATGCACAATTCATGACGTAGGTACTTTAAAATACTCGACTAAAAGTGAAAACAGCAAGTATATGGTCAAGAGGGACTATAAAAAATGATTGAAAGATCTACAAACTTGAACAGTCCTTATAATTTAAAGTTTACAAGATGCGTCAGTTAACGTCATCCGTTCAAAAGTCCATATGAGAATTCCAAAACTGAGAAATCATGAACTGTAAGTTACGTCTCTAACGAGTAGCGTATAATTACAATCAAGGACGTTATTAGCAGAGTTTTGTCTTTTTTTCAGAGGGCGTAGACCAAGTAACTCCAGAGGTGCTGGAAGACTGGATCAACACAGATGCGGACTTGTGGGGAATGTTTCAACCTTATTATCATCTGCTATCCGGTAGAACAGCCTTTGGTTTCACTGACTCCATCGAGATGTACGCTCCTTCTAAAAAAGGTAACTGATTTAGTTTTCATGAACCTAGGGATTCTCAACAGCTGAAACGTATTTCAATTGACAGATTAGTTGAGTCGAAAGTACCAAAGAGGTTGTAATCAAACAAAAAGTGAAAAGAACAAATTTATTAACGCTTGAAAAGTTTGATGCCTCGGTCAACTATCACTCGATAGAAACCGAGAGACTAGATTTTTGAAGTCCTGGCTCCCTCAAAAACAAGCCAGTTCCTTCAGCAATCATTCGAAGAGAAGTAACAGGCAAGGGACGATGATCATCGTCTCTTGTCACAGGCTAATCAATCTTGGATTTTATCTCTTTCGGTTTAGCGCCAAGCAGCCCTAAGGCAGGTTCACCAAGGCGCAGAGGATTGGACAAATGCTTAACAACTACATGTGTGACGTCAGTGGCTGAACTGACCGAGCTTGTTTTGCAGGCTCAACAACGTTTCGCTGAGGTGTACCAGAGTAAAGATAACAAGCTGATATCTCAAGTAGACTGGGCATCAAATGCCTTGCAGACTCTGTATTACTTCATGAAGTGTTCGCACCAGATCGACGAGGACATTTCCGACATTTTGGCGGCAACGAGACGGTAAAACAAATCTATTATTTCATGTTACAACAAATCAAACCGTAATCTTAAACGTTGGAAGTTTTTTTCTTGCAGAGCGCATTCCCATCTTCCCCCGCTGGTTGAGTGGTTAAGGGTGGCTAGTCTGCACGCCGAACACCGTGTCAGCGGTATGGTCGATGATGATGACGTCAGACAAGCAGCCAGGCTGCTCATGCCGTTTAATGACTGTGAGCCACGAGCTTTGTGGTAAGCGGACACAGTGTGTTTGTCGACTTAATAGTTATCGTTATTTGAAAGCTAAGTGCATGAGGCAGAAGAAGAAAACGAAACGTTTTGTCTTGCATTTGGCAAATGCGAGATTCCAGCAGTTTTTTAATGCTTTTAAGCGTTATGTGCAAGAAGTTTGTGAGATACTCTGCAAAAAGTACAGCAGCAAACTAAAATGCAAAACGGCAGAACAATACATATTCAGCTTGACCTGCAAGTTTAGACTAAGCAGTAAATTTTGTAACCTTTGGTGTGAAAGTAAAGGTTCTCGCAACTTAGAAACAAATACATGGCTTTGGCAAGCAACAAAAAGCTCCATCATAAGGTCACTTTTTTATGATTTCTTTTTAATTTTGTGTTTTTCAGTCCTGTTGATTCGTTGTCCGTCTCCAGATCTCTCTCGCCCTCAGCTGCAGCCGTCAGTTTTCAACAGGGCCTGGGCCTGCGCATGCTTTTATGCGGTAGAGTGGACATAATTCCTCAGGCTCTAGCAATGTTGGGACCCGAAAAAGTCAACGCTGTCAACATACAGGTATACAGAATTTAGGCGCCGTGAGTTCACAGTAGAGGTAATAAAAGAAATAAGAGATCAACACAGGAGTTCGTCGCTGCTCTTGGTCGCTGTTTTTTTCCGTTGTGTTTACTGGTGGCATAGCTGTTATTTCAGTTGCGCTAAGAATACCATATATTCTTTTGTAAGGAGGCATACGAACGAAGCGAGAGGCTAAACACAATATATACAAAATGGCCTTGCTGCTTCGTTTGAGCGTCAAACCGCGCAGAACTGCGGCAACAACAGGTGATACACTAAAATCAAATAGACCGCCAACGTAATTTATATCTAAAAACTTTTACACTATAAAAAGAAATGTCTATTGTAAACCATAAAGAAGTTGAAGTCCTGACAATAGCACAGAAAGTTAGAGAATTTTTTAACAGAGAAATAACAAGATGCTTTGATGCTGTTCTCTTTGACCAGGGAATGACTCCACTCATGTACGCATGTGCAGATGGAAACGAGGCTCTTGTCAAGACACTGATCGAGCACCACGCGCTACTGGATACTCAGGTACAATTCATGGACTGTTACACAACGAATAAAAATAAGGCCTGTATGGGGGATTAACTCTCTACCCTTCATCCTGTCTTGTCCTTGAACAGTCACGTTTGCTACACTTTATTTTGTGTGCAAAACAACAAAAGCACCATTTCCATCAAGAAGAGAGCCCACTGCATAGCGTTTTCTCAGCCTTGAATTTATTATTAATCTCAGAAGCATAGAAAATGAAAAATAAACTGAGTAAATCACTTTATTCAAGCATCGAACTGTTAAGCATTACTGGACACTGAAACAAGCAAGCGAAAACAGTATTGTAAATTGAACAGAAATTGAACAGCTGACAATTTACAAAGCGTAGAGGAGTTGAATTTGGGACCACCAAACACAAATCCATCTAGTGGCAGGGAGTAAGACTTGAGCTTGGGACCTCCAAAGTCCCAAATCCAGCGCCCTTAACCAATAGGCCACGCTGCCTTGACTTACGGCTGCTCCATGGCCATCTAAGACTGTTTTTTGTTTTGTTCTTTTTGACCAAGGTACCTAATAACAAGCAGATTTATCCACTAGTTAACCTGGATCTCATGTCCTGGACCGCGTTGTCTTTTGCGGCAGTGAAAGGTCACGTGCACGTGTGTCAGGTAAATAACAACTTATCTTTGTGACCAAGCAGGGTATGTAGGTAAGAAAATAACTAAGCCTTCTCTTTAACAATCCCAGTTGGCTTTCCTGGCCTTTGCATTCTTAAAATTATCTGCCGAGTATTTGTTTTCTCAGTAGTGAAATTTGGGCGAGTGGGATCGGAGTGGTAAGGTCTTTTTCAGCTGGGAAAATTAGCCGGTAGCTAGCTTCTAGCTACATTGCTGTAAAAGAATATTGACAATCGAAAAACACTACTGCATGGAAATACTGAAAGAGGAGAAAGAGATGTCCAGTATTGTAAAAAAAAAAAAGATTTAAAATAGGGTTACGAGTGGTCGATTTAATTTGAAAAAGTCGTTTGCAGAATTTTGAGTTGAATTAACGTGCAATGATACATTTGGTATCTCTGACCAGTTTCTGTTGTTGCAAACACTTTTCCTTTCTCATAGCGACGAAACAAAAAAGTCAGTTTATACTGCGCAGTATTAGTATTACCGCCTCCATCTTTCGTTTCGTCTTTCTTAGTGTTATAATCATCTGCTGCATTCAGAGCAGAAATTTGCTTGAGAAACCACCTGTTCATAATATTTGACAAGTGAATTGCAATTTAATGTTAAGCCAGGTAATTATGATCTGATGAAATTTGTATCCTTCTCTATGCCCTCAGCTTCTGTTGGATGCCGGAGCCAACCCCAATGGTGCAACAGATCATGGGAGAGACAGCCAAGTGGAGACACCATTACAGATGGCTGCTGCTTCAGGTAATAGTCACTTGTCAACGGTAATTTGATGGTAAGGGTTCACTAAGTCCCTTCACCCTGATACATTGTTAAGTTATATCGCTCCTTGTTGCGCATATGACCATTCATTACAATCGTCATTCTCAATTTCTGATTTTGTTTGCACATTGCACTAGGTAATTACGAGCTAGTCGCTATGCTTCTCAGGAAAACCGCGGATCCTTACATCAGCGTGAATACATCATCGTTCAGTCCTGGATCGCGGGGGTTTGGGAACACCTTTGCAGCTGCGGCTGCTCACGGTCACAAAAACATTCTTAGGAAACTGCTGGAGGAGCCTGGTGCCCGACGGGAAAATGACATGTTGTCCCTTGTAGAGATACTCTCCGAAGGTTTGCATTTAGTCTTTATTTATTTTCAAACGTTTGTTGAACGGCTATCAGATAAATTTGGTTATACGGACTGAGAGACTCATGACATAGAAAGGCTGTGAAGATTTATGAAGCTTTACCGACATTTCCGTTTTTCAATGATCAACCCAGGGTCACTCTTGGATGGTGGAGGCGAAAGAAAACTAACAAAGAAAAGAAGCAAAGCTCTTGAGGTAAAGGGCAAAAATTTTACAAAAAAGATGGAATCTAGCCGTGAGGATGTTTATAAAATCCACAGTCTTCTTCGTCCGTCCTTCCTTGAGTCGGTTCGTTCGTTCGTTCGTTCGTTCGTTCGTTCATTTGTTCCTTCTTTCGTTCGTTCGTTCGTTCGTTCGTTCGTTCGTTCGTTGTGCATTTGTTAGTGCGTTCGTTCATTCATTCGTTCATTTATTTACACCTGGGACTGTACACTCATGCGCGGCTCTCTTATTCTCATTATTATTAGGAGTTTAGCACTTCTTGCTTTCGACAATGACTTAGGAGAACGTTAAGTGTTCCAAGAAAACTGGCACAGTTGCAGTCATCTTACGTTTTTTTTTTTTTTACTTTAGGAAGCTCTGTACCACAGCTGTGAGCACGGATTTCTTGACATTACCATGGAATTAAGAAGTTTAGGTATGACATGTCGTTAAATTGCGCGTAATTGGCCATTTTCATATCTGCAATGCATAGGCGTTGCTTGAAGCAACCTTTTGTCTGAGACCAGAAAAATGTCTTTATCAGTATTTCTTGCTTCATCTCGGTAGCTAAATTCTCTCTTTTATTTACGAAGTGAAATTATCGAGTAAGATGTCAACCACTTTTGAAGGGTTAGGAGAGGGGTAAAAAAGAGTTCAGTTCCTCCATCTTTCTTCACCCACCTTCTCAAACGCAGGCCGGATACCACCTTCTCAAAAACTGTTGTTTGGAAATGAATGTTTCTCCGACCAGGTGTGCCGTGGAATATTCATTGCTGGAGTCAAACTGTAGGTCACGCGTTTGAGCGAGGTCAGAAGTCATTTCTAAGATGCCTGTTGCGTGACTTTCAGTCCATGTCAACCGATGAGTACACAAATGACTTCTGTGACGACGGGCTTGTCATCTTGTTCAATATCTTCAAGGAATGCGAGGTGACTTGTTTCTTTTAATGTTGTTGAAAAGAGAAATTAGGTTAAAATGTTACATTACCTCACAGCCCCAACGCTTACATTGCATTACATTGTGCGCAGGTGCAGTGTAGCCTCGAATATATTAAAATCAACAAGTACGGGATGTTTTAGTCTTGCGCTCGGAGAGGGCAACAAGGACTGATCTTATTTTTAAAATGACGATTTCCGAGACCAAGGCTTCGTATGTTGAAGGCCAAGTGCCAGCCCTGACTTTTTGGCATCCAAAATGGCTAGCACAATTGATTCCGACTGACATGGCCACATACTGAGGCCTAATTTGCTTAAATGGGGTAGTGTTGGATTTGTCTCTATGTAAAGCACACTACAACATCGCAGAATAAGGTATTTGTGGAGAGGGGGAGAGGGCTAATGATTTAACTTAGCCGTCCTTACCAGTCTCCCCTGTCCTGACCATGCAGTTTCGATGTCCAATAAGTGGAACATGAGATGTCTTTCTCAGCTTTGGACTCCCTCTTTCACAAGGTTCGCCTTGAATAAAGTTAGTGTTTATCGATTTATGAGACGCTTTCCCTTTGTATTCCTAGGACCAGGCTCTTTCAAAGGAGCTCGCCTCGGTGTTGTCGTGTTGTTTTGGGCATGGAGCCCTGAAGGAGATTGAGGCACTTCCAATAACACAGACATCCATCCGTATCGGTAAT